AGAGAGGAGAGGGAAAGGGTAGGGAGGGGAGGGGAGAGGAGTGGGGGGGAGGGGAGGGGAGGGGATGAAGAAAGGGAGAGAGGCAGGAAGGAAGGATTTAGCCTGATATTAGAGTTTGTCATGAGATAAAGCAGACCCTATTCTGCTTATGGTCTGGGTCCCAGTTATACAGATGACTCCTTATTCTCCAAGCCCTTCCTCCCATCCTGTCCTCTTGCTTGTCTTGTCCCCTCTGCATGGGCTTTCTCTGTGTTCTGGGAATGCTGTTTGCTCCTCCACATCCACTGCCCATCCCTCTCCTCCCTGCTCTGTGCCCTTGGAGGTTGGCTTCTTTGGGGTGCCTCTATGGGTTCCTTTGCTCTGTGACTTCTAGTTTCAGTCCCTAGTGGGAAGCACTAGCAGAAGACTAGAAGGCAGAAGAGAATGTCAATGGAGAAGTTACTCTCCTGGCTCCCTTCTGGCCTGGGAGCCACAGTAGGCTGGCTACCCCTCTTTATGGAGAGTCACTGCGGCTGCCCAGGAGTCTTCCACACACATCCCCTCTCTTGAATGTTCCAAAACTACTCTCTCTTCTTGCCCCTCCAGGCCAAGGATAGAAATGGCTCCCTGCTCTGTTGCTGACCCTGGCCTTGGAGATTGTCCTAAACCCTGCCTACCCTGTTATAAATAGCCTCTCCTTCAAATTACCCCCTCCTTCAACTTTCCTTAATTGTTCTGTCTGAATGTGTCACCTGTTTCCTGCCAGGACCTGACCTGCGCAGGCTGCATCTCTACCTCTGAACATGCTGCCCGGCCCCAGATGCCCCCCAAATCATGCCTCCACTAGCCACCCCTGCCTTGTTTCCCTAGTCAGAGCAGATCTCTGCCTCGCAGAACTCCTGTCCCACTGTGTGTTGTTGTCATGAATCAGAATTTCTTATGTTTGAATATGACCCCCCCAGCAAAGTGGAAGCCCCTCAATGGGGAGGAACGTGCCCCACTCACCGAAGCATCCCCAGTGAACAGCAGAGAGCCTGACAGAGGTGCACATACCCGATAAATGTCTACAACCACGTGGTTCCGTAACACGATTTGGAGAAAGATATCAGCAAAAAGTCGGGCTGTGCCATACTCCACCTCAAGACCAACAAGGCTACTTTCTACAGCACTACCATAATCCTCACTGTGTGTGCCTCAGGTGACAGGGCACTCCCCTGGGAGAACCATTCTGAGGGGGGAGGACATCATCTGTTACTCAGCTCCAAGCTTCCTCCCACTCTGGTCCTGGCCAGGGCTTAGAAACCATACAGAGCAATTCTGCTCCCTTTCCCACAGGACAGGCCTCTGGGGACATGAGGTGCATGCCACATGGCCCTATAGTCATGGCCCTGTGAGAATTTTCTCATCCAGGCCAACCATCTTCAAACGGTTATGATATTACCATTTGAAGTTATATCCTGGCCACTCACTGTCCAGTCCCTCTCTCCGTGCACATCTTCAATTGACTGCTTTTATTATGGCCTCTTAATAAAGAACACTAGCTGCCAATGTAGCTCTAATAGTTCTACAGGGGCCCACGGAACCCCAAGGCCATTATCTAATTCTCTTCTAAACTCACTCATTCAAGCACTTCGTAATCCCAAGCTCTTTGGGTGATATTTGAGAAGAGAGCGAGGGTACAATGTGAGGGGGCAGGTACCTGTGGCTGCGAAGATGTCAAGGCCACGCTGGGTGGCTGTGCCATGGCAGATGACCAGGAGTCAGAAATCTAGAGCAACCTTAACCCTAGCTTGACCACTAATGGATAGGGTGAGCTCTGACTCGGTTTCCCTCCATGGGAGGATAAGGGATGTGGACCAATGATCTGTGAGGATGTTTCTAGGTCTGACATTGGGCACAATTCTGGTAACTTGTGCAGCCCTCTGCTAGGATTAGTTGCTCCCCCACAGCACGTGAATCCCTGAGAACATGGACTAACGGGTCCAAGGACTATGACGTAAGGGCATCTAAATGTGTTAAAAGAAACGGTACTCTTTCCTAGAGTACACTGACCTGCCCAGCTGCATTACTGGGGGAAAAAAAAAAATCTTATTTTACTCAAGGGAATTGTTACATTAAATTGTCAGAATGGTGGATTTTAATCAGTGCTACTCAAAGTAGGTACTGCTTACCAGTCTACGGTGCACTGGGAACAGAAATGGAGAGTGCACATTTAGAAACTTTTCAAGAATTCTGACAATGACATTCCTGTGGTTTCATTTTACACTGATTCATTTTTTTCCTGCACATATCAAAGGGATCAGCTTGCAACATATAGGAGAAGAAAGTTGGTCCTTTACCATAGATTGATAAGTATTAAATAGTTTTATTGCATTTACTCATTAAGAAAGAAAAAGAGAGAGGAGAGAGAGAGAGAATGAAGTTCAGCTCTTTATTAGAAATCACCTAGATAATATTAAATGTTCACTGCTTATATTGCAGGCATCCTTCCTTCCTTCCCTGCCTTGTATTGCACTGCCTTCCTTCCTTCCCTCCTTCCTTTCCTCCTGCCTGCCTTCCTTCCTTTCCTCATTCTTTCTTCCTCCCTCCTTCCCTCCCTCCCTTTTTTTTAAAGTCACAAAGCAAATATCTCTCTGCAAACCTCCACAGGTTTCTCTCTGCACACAGGAGAGCTGATACAGCCAGAATGCTGTGTACCCCCGCCTCGGCCCGTCAGAAGAGGACACATTGCCTGGTGGGCCCCACCCAGGGCACATGACCTTCCCAGCCAGCAAACAAACGGGCCGTGGCGTGAGTGGTCAGAGTTGGCACACGGCTGCTCACAGACATTCTGGGCAGGCAGTCCCGTGACTTAGAAAAGAGGAGGCCGTTGGAGGCTGCCAGCTCTGTCTGCTGATTGTGAAGTATCTGGGACCTGGGGCCCCGCGGCCCCTCCGTACCAGGACAGCTCACCCGCCACAAAGGCCAGCTGCCCTTGGTCCTGACCCAATCAACTCAGCAGTTTTTTCCCAAGGCTTTAGTGAAGCTACCCTGTCTGTCACCTCTGCCCTTCAACTCTGCCTCTTACTGTTCCTTAGGCTTAAAAATACCCTCCTTCAGTGGGAGCGTTAGAGTCATTAGATCTGGATTGGAATCTAAGCTCTCCATTTATTTGCTGAGTAACCTTGGCTAAACCCCTATGTCATTCTGAATCCTGGGTTTCCTTCAGCAAAACAGGGCTAAGAGTACCCACCTTCCTGGCACCTGCTGAAGAAACAGGGTTTGAATGAATGAAAGACAGAAAGACAGAAAGAAACAAAGAAACAGAGAAAGAAAAATTGGGTGAATAACTTCCAGCTACTTGTGGCCCTTCACCCTCCTCCATGCCCACTCTGCCTGGGCATCCAGCTCAGTAGGGCACACACTGCCTTAATCTCAGAGACTTGCATTTGTGCCTTAGCTGAATGACTCTCCTGACCCATGACCTTGGCCGAGTCATTTGACCCATTAACATCCTCTCTCTCCCGATCAGTCAAATGCAAATACTAACCCCTGTCTTGCCTTCTTTGTCAAATTCTGTCAAAGCTCAAATGAGAGCAGAGATGAGAACACATTGTGACCAGGAAGGAACCGGCCACACATCAAGGCTTCTTCCCACCTGGGCCGCTCATGTCTGTGGACCGAGGTGAGAGTCGAGGGCCTGCCTGGTGCCAGCAGGCTGAGCTGACGTGCTTTCTGGCCTGCTGCCAGGCACGACATTCTCCTGCCAGTATCGTCATTCCTTTGCACGTAGGTATTTTGTCTGTGCACGGGAGGCCCTCGCTCTTTTGAGAGAGACCTAAAGAGAAGAGTCAGCAGAAAGCCTGCAGAGGTCGGCAAATGTGCTCGAGCTCTCAACAAGTCCAGGGTCCTGTGTGCTGGACAGAATGGAAAAGTTCAGCGTGGATCTGGGCAATCAGGAAAGTGGAGGGTGACAGTCTCTCTGGCTTGGAATTAGTTCCTCCGGGTCCCCTACTGAATACAGATCACCCATGGGTTCCCCTTTGGGCTTTTCTTTGGGGTTGCTGGCCAGGGGTGCTAGTGCAAGTGGACGCTGAATGAGGCCTCAGACGCGAGCTTCCTGTTCCCACCCTCTTCTCAGCAAGAGATGAAGTCCTTCTGCCCCGTGCCCTCCTTTCTCCCCCAACCCAACCTCGGTTGTCCAAACTGTACCTAAGCTCTCCCAGAGATATTCAAGCTGAAAGTCAGGTTTTTTTTTCCTCTTTGATCTCGCTTGGCACTCCCTAAGCACAGCACGCACCATCTTCCGTTACACAAGTCATGACAAATACGCTTACCGAGAGCTAATGGGAGAGACACCGTGAGAGCCCCCTCTCAACCCTCAAAGCAGCCGGACAAAGCAGGTGCTGTTCTTATTCCCACTTCACAGAGGAAGACGTAGCGTCTAAGGGGCCACAAAGTGAGGAAACAGTATCACCAAGACCTGAACCCGGGCCGTCCAACCAAGCTGATCCCCGCTGCCAGCTCGGTGTGACAGGATGAATGTTCTGCTGGGAAGGGTGTTCCATACTGGTCTGTCCAGCACGGTAGCTACCAGCCCACGAAGCTGCTGAGTACTTGAAAGGTGGCTAACGGGACTCAGGACAGATTTTAACTTTATTTAGTCTCGGCTAATTTCCCCGTCAACAGTCGCGTGTGGCTGGCGACCGCACGTGGCTAACGCGCTGCACCCCACGGTGCCACGTACATGATGGCAGCTACTGGTACTCGGCCCCACATCACCCAGTTTAGACTCTGTGCCCTTTGAGAAGACCGGGTTGAGCCTTCCTTCTTAGCCCGTGGTGGGGGCTCAGCGAATACCGTCGTGACGGGCCATCCTTGCGTAGCACTCCCATGAGAACTGAGTGAGGGGCTGGCCTCGGTCATGAAACCGCTGTGTGAACTGGAAAATTCCACACCCCCTAGGGGCCTCAGGTGCCTCGCCTACACAATAGGGGACGAGTCAGGTGGCAGCCGGGCATCGCCTGCCCCGCAGGCCTTACCTGTGCGGAGAGTCGGGGTCGAAGCAAGTCTTGGTGACGTCGGTGATCTCGGGGTCACAACACTCTCCGCCGTCAAAGTTGAACCGTTCATAGTTGCAGTCCATGTCACACACCCTGTTGTGCTGCTTCTTCACGAAGGCGGGGTGGCGTAGGTGGCGGCAGTCCCCGCCGTCGTGGCCGGTCAGCGTGTGGTTGCACTCGGGGTCGCAGTTCTCATCCCCGATCTTGCTGATGTCACAGTTGGCCAGCACGAGGCGGTGGCGCAGGGAAGAGTTGCTCACCTCCAGCACCTCCAGCTCCCAGGAGATGTTGTAATGCTTGAAGGCCTCGGCCAGCTGCCGGTGCTGGAAGTCAATCTGCTGGCGGCTCACCGTGGGGTTCTCGCGGCTGTCGTCGTAGAGGTTGACCACGCGGTAGCGCACCACCTTGGGCCGGCGGAATCGCGGGAGCTGGTTGTAGCTGGCGATGACCTCTGTGTGGTCACACAACGTCTGCCCGCACAACGGAGGCTCCAGACTCGTGTCCAGCAGGAAGCCGTGGGCACCGCTGTGTTCCACTTGGGGGATGCTGCCATCCTTCATGGGGGACCAGGCGCGCTTCACATTGTCCCAGTTCTCCTGGAGGAGGAGCTGAGGTAGAGGCGTGTGGAGGCCACGGGTTTCCATATCCGACAGTATCTCCCGCTGAGTCCTGGCCACCTTCCACAGACTGAAGCGCTCGATATAGCCCCGATAGTTGTGATTCAGAGCGCTGCCTCCCAGCATGAGCACTTTACACTTCTGGGTCAACGGGCTGAATATGCCGCCCACCTGCTCCCCGGAGGTTGCCACCTGGGCGCCATTCACGTAGAGCTTCATCAGCCGCCCGTCGTAGGTGGCAGCTAGGTGTACCCACTGGCCTGGGAGGTAGCTGCGGTACGCATGGATGGTGGTCCCCTGCCGGGCCCGGTCTGTCTTCAGGGAGAAAAAGTAGCGTGGGTCTCTGTTGCCTTGGTCACTGACGGTGTGAATTCCCACGACCCATCCTCGGTCACGCGAGGTATATGAACATTTGTCATATAGCCCTATGTGGCCCGAAGAGAGAAAGATGAATAAATAAAGGATGGAAGGGGGTGGTGGTGAGTTATTTCTCCCTGATAAAACTTATATCAGGATGTCCTAGACCAGCGGTTTTCAAACTGTGCCCTGCGAGAGCCAGCAGCTACTAATGGAGGCTCTGGGACCACCCTTCGGGCACACTGAGGGCCGGAGGGACGGAGAGGACAGGTGAGCTGGCTTTGGGGGTTGCTCACCACAACCTGTAGCCCAAACAGTTTCACTTGTATTGGTTTTGAGTATGGAACTTACAAGAAAGGTTTCTGTTGTAGAATGGGGAGTTGAGCTAAACAAAATACCAACAATCATAATAATGGAAATCTGAACACCTTTGATTTTGCAAGACTGTTGTATGGGTAAGGGAACTTTGTGATTAAGATGGAATTTTCAGTGTGGGATGATACAGGAGGCGAGAGGAGGGTCAGCGGTGGTGATAATGCACAGAAGTTGCTCATTTAGAAGGATGGCCCCTACTACGGTCTCCGTAACTTTGAGTGCACGTTAACGATTAGCAGTCATCAAAAGGCCAGCGGTGGTGAGCCATCAGGAAAGTTGGCACAGAGAATCAAGGGTCAAGGGCTGCAAAGCTAACGCTTTTAGCTCCTAATAGGAATCCTGGTTAGCCCTGAAATTCATCCCCAAAGGCAGGCATGCTTAATATCTGAGCAAGAAAGCTTTAAAAAACATTTTTTTTTTAAAGTTTATTTGTCTATTTTGACCAGGAGAGAGAGCAAATGGGAGGTGCAGAGCGAGAGGGAGGGACAGAATCCCAACCAGTCTCTGCACCGTCAGCACAGACCCTGATGCAGGGCTCAAACTCATGAACCTCGAGATCAGGACCTGAGCCGAAACCCAGAGTCGGACGCCTAACCAACTGAGCCACCCAGGTGCTCCTGAGCTAGAAAGGTTTTTAAAGATCACAATTCCAACTTCTTCACTCGACAGGTGAGGGACTTCAGACCCAGAAAATGAAAGACATTTGTCAGGTTACAGAGTCACTGACAAATTTCCTGAGACCCATTTCAGCTTGCTTTTCTCTGACACTAATGCTAATATTTATAAAAGAATGAAATGAAAAGCACTCTCTTAACATAAAAAGATGTTGGGGACTCCTTCATTAAGTAAAATCTTCCAAGCCTCTACAGCAGGTCAAGCATTGTACTAAGGTCTACACGTGTGCGAATTCATTTCATCCACGTAACAGTTTTAAAGTAGTGATGTTAACAGAGGCAGATATGGAAATGGATGGGTTTAAGGTCAACTGACTGGTAAGAGGATCCCAGACCCTGGGATTCACTACCCTGTGCGCTAACTCTACAGGCACCTCTCTCTCCCCCATCAATGCCACCAGGGATCTGGGACACACCAACCTCCTGAGGGTACCACAAGCTGGGTGTTTGGGAAAGTCCCAAGGCTGACGCCTGTAGCTTTACTCTGGGAACCCCAGGAAGTCACTTAGCCGATTCTCTCTGGATCAAAAAGTATCTTTATACTCACCAACCCCTATTCCCCAGCCCTTCTGGAATATACCCAGTGTCCTTGGCACAGACAGGCTGTTGGATGAGGAAGAGGACTTTCTAATTAAGAATGCATTTGAAGTGTGGGATGATGTACGAGGCCAGGTGGGAGGAGAAAGAGAGGGAGACGAGAATGAATAAAAGATGCCCATTTAGAAGGACGGTCCCTACTTTGAGCTGGTGAGTTTCTGCGGTCACCATAACTTTGAGGGTGCATCTGCCATCAGCATGCATCAAACGATCATGGAGAGCTTCCAGTAAAATCAACAGAGGAGGCCCACACAGTCTTTACTCCTTTGTGAGCACTGGGGCCTCAGAACTCATGTCGATCTGTTAGCAGCTGATGTGGATGGCAGTTTGGGCCTGGCATCTAAGTCTGCCTACACCCCTCCACCTACTCCTGTCCAACAGTCCTTCAGGCAATGGCTGGGGGTCTCCTCACAAAGTCAACCTGCTCTCATTGGCTGGGCAACCTTGGGTGAAGCATTGAATAATACCTCCTCTGGGTCTTGGTTCTCTACCTGGTAAAGGAGGGGACTGAATGGAGTCCCCCTCACACACCTGGCCCAAGTCTGCTCTTCTGTGTTTCCAGGTTTCTGAATGGCTAAAACAGAAACCACCTCCTCCTAGAAGCTCTCTGTGATAGCCCTGTAAGGAATGCCCATTCTCTCCTCTGAACTCATTTTGCTTTTAGGCAACTAGACACTTGTCCTCTGGTTCTGGAGTCCCCCTAGACTGGATGCTTCTGGAGAGTGAGGACTCTGGCTGGACCATCTGTATATCGTGCCTAGCACCCTGCACCATGCCTTGCCTACAGCAGGCACTCAGTAAGTGTCTCATGATGGAGCACAAGAAGGATTCCTGAAAGACTGGGAGAAGGAAAAAGGACAAGCAGAATCAAAGGCACTGATTTATGTCTCCATGGCTAATGGACAGGGAGAATCAGAAGAAAGTGTGTGTTCTTAGTACCATAGAAAACTCAGGATCTTTGGATTCAGAGTAAGTAATTCTGATGAAAGCAATTCCTAGCCATACATCTGGGGAAAATCACTTCCCTTCTACAGATCGTAATCCTCTTGCCGATATCCCTCTTTAAGCATGCTGTCCTACTTAACAGACACGGTGGAGGCCCCGTCCTTGGCACACGGTAGCTGTCCCAGTGTGAGTTCAGCTTGAAGACGCTGGAGGGTCTAGGACCGATGTCAATGATGACATGTGGGAAACGACTAGAAATAAAATACAGAAGGGCCAAAGAGAGAAGGCACCCTGAAGGCATCTTGGCTGATGTATCAAGAGCTGATAGAATGAAGCCTCGAAAACGTCCAAGTCCTCCTCAAACCCACTGACAAACCCGACTTAGAAATCAGACATCTCATCTCCTGAACTGCTGTCAGGCTGCTGAATGTGAAAATCTGCACTGACCTCTCCAAAACTGAAGCTCTGACTCCAGATTTGGAGTGAGTTACCCAATCTATGGGTTGCCGCTTGCTACAGGGATCAGTGAGAGCCACGTTCCCCGGAGCCACCACTCTGGTGTCCCTGGTCCCACCACTGAGCTCACCTTCTCTTGCTCCCCTGGCTAAACCCTCCCCCTTCAACAGAAAATTCTTCTAATGAGAAAATTAACATCTGAAACAGGATCCCTTTTCCCTCTCTCTTTCTCTCTTTCTCTCTTTCTCTCTGCAGGTTTTTTATTATGCCAGGGGCTCTCAGTCCCTGGTTTTCCTGTTGCCTTTGGAAGGCAGCTAGCTGGGTTAGCAAGGTAAAATGTTTACACATCTGTAGGGTGCCCTCCGTTCAGAACCTTCTTGGGGCTTGGGACTCAGGCTCAAGCCACCTCTGTGTGCAGTTGAGAGAGAAGAGAGAAGCAGCGAGAAAGGCCAGACTCTGGGACATGGAGCGGGGAGACTAAGAGGAGGCTTGGCCCCAGGAGGCTGAGAGGAAAGGCAAAGAGAGGCTTTTCAGTGGAACCCAGAGGAAACACATTGAGGGAACTGAGAACCTTGAAGCAGTGGCTTCAGAAGTTCAGAAGGAAATATTTACCTGGAGTATAAGTGGCAAAAGGAAATCACCGAACTTCAACAAGGTGGGGGGTGGGGGGAGTAAAATAGTGATGGGGACTTATTTCTGTATGAAAAGAATTTAATCAACAGTAGCCACATTTCAGGGGGCTGGAAGGGAGACACCGCTGTCTCACCAGCCCAGAACCAGGGATCTGGAACCAGAGATCCGGGCTCAGCTTGCCAGATGACAAGTCACACCATCCCCCCCTCTTATGCTGCCGGGCCTCATTTCCCTTCTCTGAAAAAGGAGAAGTTTGGATTAAATGATCCCCACCTACAATTTAAGAGCTCTTTTGTTCACTGCTAGAATGGTTCCTTGTAAGCAGAAGGAGCTCAAAAATAGGTGTTGATCTGAATCTGATGCCTCGTGTCAATCCCAGTCCTTGCATACTTAGGTTCCCTGTCCTCTGTGTATCTCCACAGAGGGACACAGAACAGTGTTCTACGAAGGACACGCGAGCACCTTCCCCACCTTCACCTTGTCCCTCCCCACAGCTGTCCAGGAAGATAGAGACATAGTGAAGGAAACGGGGAGAGGCGTTTCTGAAGTGGCCCCATCTGTGTGCTGCTGGAAGTTGATCCCAGGGGACACATCCCCATGTGACAAGATGAAGGCTACGGGGCAATCCTGCACACAATCTACATCTAATTAGCATAAGCCTGCCTCAAGGCTATAAACGCATAGAAGCAGACACTGAAAGCGTGTAGAGCCCATGAGGTGTCTAGGGCACTCTTACAGATGTGGAGAAGTCCAGCCCCAGACCTGGGAGAGGCTTGCCCTGAGCCTCATAGTAATCACCGGTCCCTCAAACCCTGGTCAGCTGGCCTCTCTAATGTGCTCTTATCTTCCTGCAGCTAGGCTTGCTTTGAAATGGGCTTCTAACCCCCCACCCCCACCCCCAGAAGTTTCCTGCCTACTTATTTTTACTGTCTCTTTTTCTTCTCATGTACCCACTGAGCCTCACCCTGGAGACAAAGAGCATATGTAAAAGAGGCTAGACCAAAGGCAGAAGTCTTCCAAAATCTTGGCCAGGGCTGTACCAGGAGTCCTCTGTACCTGGGGGTCACCCCCTCAGGATCACTTTAATGGCACTGTCCCAGGGCAGCTCTGTCTGACCATTCCATTCCACTCCAGGAACAGACAAATCTTCCTCCCATATATCCATCACATTCCTTCCTGTCTGAAAACTCACCACTTCTGTAATTACTCATCCAGTGTCTGTGTTTCCCATCTGTGGGTCTGTTTGGTTCATTTCAAAGTGCCCAACATTCTGTACAGACCCTGGTGTCTTACAGGTGCTCCGTAGAGTTTGTCATCGCAAACTAAAAACAAAGGAACAGGAGGGACATTTCCCTATTGCCGTGTTCTTTACAAGAGCATAGGACCCTTCCTTTATTTAGAAGTTGCTATGTCCCGTGTGTTCTAGATTAATTCTCTCACTTAACCTTCACAATGAGACTCTCAGCATGGCCCACTTGCCAGAGGAAGCTGAGGCTCAGGCTCAGGGAGGGAAGAGGCTCTCCCAAAGCCTGAAATCCAGGCCTATAGAATTCCCAGGCCCAGGTGCTTAATCACGTCACTGCACTGAGCCCAGTGGGCTGTTTGAAGGCACGGACCCCTCCGAAAAGATCTAAGTCCCACAGCACCAACATAAGCAAGTTGACTTGAACTGCAGGCCAAGAGGCTGCTTTCCAGTCATTCTTCTGCCTAAACAACTGACTGAGGACC